TGAAGTAGCCAGGGCCGGTTGCCGACATTTAGTGCCTGGGCCGGGTAGAGGTCGTACTAAAAAATACCGGGCCGGGCTCGATTGAATGAAATTTTCTGGCCGGGCCGGAAAAAAATTGGCCCATGCAGTGCTCTAGTTTGGATTCCGACACTGAAAACTTGTTTACAAGTAAGATGAAGAAAGTAAAGATCAAGCAAAATGATTCGTAATAGTCCACAAATAAAATTCATCAATAAAACGTTTTTCGGGTTACTTGTGGACTAATCTCCTAAATTAGTTGTCAAAACGTTCGATTTCTGGGTATTTATGGAACTTATATTTTGGTTAGCAGCGTGGCTCGGCTTTTCCCCTTTCACAGGGTATCATTTTGACTACACGTTCACGTTATGCATCACGTTATCCACCAAAACGCCATTTGCCTCTCTCTCTCTGCGAGAGCACATGTGGTTGTTTTATTTTACTTCTAGAAAGCGGGACGCATTCTAGAAAATCGCGGTAAATAAACGGCGTTGTTCACATACCCCTTTGCGTAGGACAAAAAAAGCTCAACTGCGTAGCAACAATACCAGCGGTGTTTGGCACCGTCAGCCCCACCTGCAGCGGGTGAGTGGAAACCATAAATCTTCATCCTTGCTATTCGCCATAAGCCCCCGGCGTTACACGCTCGGGACGTAGCGAGATGAGCACTTCGTCAAGGAAGGCTTTATTCACCGACCTGTTCCTGCACTATACTTACTGCTTCATCTTTTTTCTTTCTTGATTTTTATGTGGTTATTAGGAGACGGGTTGGGGGGGGGGGGGAGGGGCTGATTATAAAGGTGGCGTTGGTGATGACATGTGCATAATTCTTGTGTTCTGGTGAAATATGCAAGACTCCTTTTTGTCTTCCTATCAGGAATAGTTTCGCTTCTCTTTGTGGCTATATAAAGGCTGCAAGCAAACTTACACACAATAAACACTGAATTCAGTCAGCCCGCATCCTGCTCTGTATAATTCTGTACGCACATGAAAAAGTTAATTATTCTGACTACATCCATTATCAATCATCACATGCCCGTAGCGGCAGTCGAGGTTTCTCCTAACACAGACATCTTTTCAAGCAAAAATTTTTACAGCAAATCAACCTTTTTTACCAGTCTTTACCTGGACTCCCAAATTTACACCTCAGTTGCGTGTGATTACACAGCAAAGTGTATGTGTTCTTTCATCGAATTGAAGGCCACATACTTTACCGATAACGTGTTCATCTATTTCTTGAGAGTCCGCCATACGAAAGTTATCATGACATCACACATAATCTGCGTTGTTGGCTCTGTGATGAAAGCAATAAGTCCCAATTAGTGTAGAAGGCGTTACTGACTTTTCTTTTGTCCTTTTCTTCGGGGTTTCTTACTTTGTTAACGAACTTCGCCAAATAATATACAACGTTGCCAGATCAACCTCTCCTCCGAGATAACTTACACAAAACTACTTTATATATGTTGTCTCTTGTTCTAGCATACTGCAAAAATGTCATTTTTAACACACTTTTTCTATTCTACATACCTGCACACGTAAAGGCCCTGAAATTAGCTCGTTGTTACTGATAAGCTTGAACATGTTCATATGAGGGACTGCACTTCACCTCATACATTCGGTACAATGCTCTGGAAGGTATGCAAAAAGTTTGGTTTGCGAAATGTCTACATCTTCTCGTTGCATACAAGGAACCCGCAAATAGCTTAAGCTGCGTGCTGCCGGAGATGGTGCCGGAGACTATGATACAGAAGAGAGGTGTTAATTGATCCAAGAAAACCCATTTACAAGGGAATAAATGACGGTGTTTGTTTATATATACGAGACAGATGATTTAACTTATTTTATTGGCCTAAAAAAACAAATGACAGCATATCCACGGGTTGATTGATGGAGAGTAGAGCGACGCGGGGTCCACACACCGTTGCCGCTTCAGCCTCCCTTTGTCGTACTACAGGGTCCTCGGGGCGCCGCCGCAAGGCTTTGCGGCGCGCTTCTGCCACGCGCGCTTGTCGGGGTCTCTTCACCAAACGCGAGGCACCGCCGCCCTGCGCGCACGCCGCTCAGCAGCCTTGTCCATCCTCTGTCGCCTAGCCCCTGAATGCGCGCACGCACCAGAACGGCGCTCTTATTGCACTTTATAGCGCCCCTTGCGTACGGGCGCCACCGAAGATCACGTCACCGTAGTCGCGCGACCGTCTCTCTCTCCTTCCATATGTGTGACGTCAATACTTTTTTCTACAAGTAAGGCCCTCTAGTGTCGTACCACTTGCATTTTCAGCGTACAGTACAAGTGACGCCTGTTAAGTTTGGCCCGGAGATTCGTCTGGGCAGACGCCATTGTGCATAAGCCGATCTACTGGGGAGGCTCTCACGCTGTTGAAGATTTGAGCGATTACCCAGACCATGTGGCAAGCGAAGGCGAGTTCCTGACTTTCAACTACAGACCCTTTCGTCGTCTCTTCGAGCATAAGCGGTGACTGATGCCCTCGGAGACTCAACTGGTGATGGAGAAGCTGTCGAGACCGGTGCCAGAGCTGCCGGGGGAGCGGCGTTCCTTTAATCCTCATTCACGTAGCCGACCGGCGGGCTGCCTATGCTCGCCAGGCATTGTCCCTGCTAGCCCGAGGGTGAGACGTCGTGCCGCCACGACGCCGTTAACCGTTCGAGAGAGGACAACAAAGACAGCATCTGCCTTGGAAGAGACTGAGGCGGCCACCGCAAATCACCCCACTAATTAGGCGAGCTGTTCGGCGGACACTTTGATGTATGCTGTCCGGATCGTGGGACCTCTCGACTAGCGGCACACACACGACGAGGAAGAGCCCTGCTGGCGCCACCTTGCAGTGCAGTGTTCACGACTCAATATTGGACGTTCACGTGGACCGTGCATGCTCGTCCCCCTCACCTGTTGTGTGTGTGTGATTGGTGTTTCACTCGGAGAGGAGGAGCCCGACAGGGCTTAAAACGACGCCGCAGAGTGCTGGACGTCGCTGTGAACCATGTAACGGTTCAACCACCACGCTCGTGGTTTGTGAAACCACTAACCCTTCTTTGCTGTAAAGATGTGTAAATAGTGCCATAAACCTGTTTTGTTTTCGTATCCTCCAGCGACCTTCCTTCCAACCCCCAACAACTGATTGGCGGTGGTGGGATGGACTTCAGGACATGGTGCTGTGCTGTGGTGAGTGCTTGGTCTTTGCTTTGACTTTCCAGGCTTCCATTGTGTGAGTTTATTAGAAGCTGGATTGTGTGTGAATTAGGGAGATTACCTTTTGTGAGTTTTGAGTTGTAGGGATCCCCTAATTATGTGTGAAATGCACGACCAAAGTACAACGGCATTCATGGCGTGGAAGGCAATGCTAAGAGATGAACTTTTGGCTGTGAGTAAGCATCTAGGCATTGAAGTAGAGGACGGAATAGGCAGGACAGCGATTGTGAGGCTGGTCTCGCAAAAAGCCAGTGAGGAGGAGATTGAAAACACGGTAGAGATTTCAGAAAAACACAGAAAAGAAAGAGAAGAAAAGGAAATTGTGGGATAGAAAAGAGCGTGATCGAGCACGCGACTTGGTGATCGAACAATTGGAACAGAACAACGAGGCTGTCATAACCGGCAATACAAGGAACCGGCATGCAAGGGACGCTCATCGGCGTACCTGCCATACGCTGTCCGCGTTTCACAGGAACGCGGGAAATCTCTTGGCGCGCTGCGAGGAACGCGCATCGGCAGGCCTGCTGGACGCAGTCGGCGTGTAGCGCGTGCACGAACGGCTATAAAAGGAGCGTGTCGGGAGTGCGCTGGGCTTTCTCTATGGACTTCGCCGGCCCGCTCGTCTCGAGTGCGCTCTGGGCCCTTGTGATGGAAAGGCGCGTCTGTACACTCTCTTTGCAATGTACTTCTCTTGCAAATATGTAAATTAAACGCATCTTCTACTTGTTCGTGAGACGCGTCGCAAGAGTCGTCCTTCACCGGATCCTGGGTGGCAGCCTCAACCCCCTCCCCGGGCATATCAACTGGTTGGCAGCGGCGGTATTGGTTCGTGTTCTTTCCTGGTACCGATGCTGGTGAGTGCTCACTTTCCGTAGAGATTCTGCCAGGTGTTTTGGATAGATGGTGATTTTTATCCAAAAGGGTAGATTAGTTGCTGCTTTGTGAAGGATTGGGTTTATTAGAGGTACCTTCACGGCAGTTTGAGCAACGGAAGTCTGCATGGGGTGACCATGGACTTGAACAAATTGAAGAAACCGGATTTAGTGCTGATGCGCCAGGAGCTGGGGATTGAGGTGGCGACTATACATAGAAAGCCACTTTTAATACAGGCGGTTAAGGATTCTGGCGCGGATGCCGAGGAGCTCGCCGAGTGCTGGGAGCTAATTCATGAGAGGATGAAAAGGGCACAAGAAGTCGAAGAGCGAGAGCGCCTTATGTTTGAAAGAGAAACCGTCAGGCGCAAAGAAGAAGCGGAAAGCCAAGAAAGAGAGGTTGAGGGCTTGCGGCTTCAGCTTAAGATTGCAGAGGCAAAAGGCGCTAGTGATCTGGGAACAGAAAATGCAGAGATTTAGGCAGGCGCACGAGTGAGCAGGAGGGACCTCTTGCAGCCTTACAAAGAGAGTGAGGACGAAGATCCCATTCTGGAAACGGACAATGTGAGGAGCCCATCTCCTGAGAATGATGAGGGCGTATCACAAGTGTCAGATGAGGAGGGTGGGCTGGAAATTGTCTAGGATGAAAACTCAAGTGATGGTGAACAGGGTGAAGGTGAAAGTAATGGAGCCAAAGAAAATGATGATGGTGGTGATGAAGCAGGAGATGCCGATAAGGTGGAGGAGGGTGGGGTAGAGTAAGAGATAAAAGAAGAAAAACCAGAAGTGCAGCCTCAAGCTGAAGAGGCAGGAAGTTTACAGATGAACCCTCAAGAGGAACAAACAGGTTCAGTGCCTGTAGAAGACACTCCAGCATCCCCTACCGAAAGAACTCTTCATTCATGCATGATGCGCCTGCGTCTCCCCCTGCTGAAGAAAGTCCATCATATCCACTAGAAGCGACACCATCTCCTCCTGCCCCTGTTGATGTGCCGGCATCGCCAATGGAAGATGTGGTCCCTGGGGCATCACCTATTGAGAGTGGAGAGGACTCCTCGGCACCTGTCTCTCCTGAAGAAGTGCCAGCAGATGAGCAATCAGCAGAGGTTTCAGGAGAAGGTGAAGATGGACAAGAAAATGACGAAAAGGAGATCGCAGACATCAATGAAGGCGACGAAAAAGCCACACAGGACAATGCATCTTCGCAAAAGGAAATTGAAAGTCCCGAGGCTGAACCGGAAGAAGAGGAGGGGGAAGAGCTAGAAGAGAGCAGTTTGGCAGCTGGTGGACCAAGTGACGACATTGCTTCCCCTGCACCAGAGGAGTCTAAAGAGGCAGATGATGGTGGTGTCCTCCTGGGCAACCTCCTTGATACTGAAGATATATCTCCTTCTTCTGAAGAAGGCCTTCTTGAAGATACCAGTAATGGCATGGAGGATATATCGGAGCCTGGTAGCACAGATGGCTTGGTGGACAATCTTGAAGCTGTTGTCAGGGAGCAGGACGAGGCTTGGCGACAAGAGTCAAAGGACAGTGAATGCCCAGTGCATAAAGAGCGGAAGACAAAGCACAAGAAAGAAACTTGTCAGTATCGGAAGCACCGGCGTCACCGGCGGACGAACAGCAATAATGAGGACCGTGAAGAAGGTGAGATTGTTGATGAAAAGTCTCCGTCATCTTCAAGCCGACAACGAAAGGAGGTAGAGACAACTGCTGATGACTTGGCTGAGTTGGCACCACGCATCAACATTTCAGAGTTGCCGCGAATACCCAAGCTCAAACGTAGTGAAAAAGTAGCAAGTCACATTGCTGACAGTGAATCAAGCATTGGAGGTGATAGCACAAGTGCAACTGCAGCATCGCATGTCGAAGTGAAGCGCACTAGTGTGTTGGGTCGGGTTGACTCTGGCAGTGATATCAGCTGGAAGAAGCTGTCAAAGCACTCGCAGGAGCATAGCTTTGAGCTCAAGTACCGCAAAGGCAGAGACAACGGTAACGCCGATGGTCTGAGCCGAGGTTTTTCGTAGCTGAAGAGCTAAAGGAAACGCGGAACTGTACAATTTTTTGAGTCCTTTGTCAGACGCAAGCGCTACTATTTAGCCTTGTGCGTGTGTGCGCGCGTTTTTATTTCTTTGTTCGAGTTCACTTGGTCAGCACCATAGTGTAGTCTTCTGTTGTGCAATAAATTACGAGCCTTACAGCAAGTTACACCTGGTGATTCTCGGGAGAGCTGAGTGTTCTCAGTGTGGGTGTCCGGTTTGAGAGCGTCTTCCCCGCTGAAGGCAGGCAGAAGATTGCTATGCCTACCGGTCCAACAGCATGGCATGGTGGACACGACGAACCAGCTATTGCGGACTGTGGCCCTTCGGTAGGGCTTCCTGCTTTCTTCGGCCAGTGGATGACCAGGCAGCGGTGACGGGGCCTTTGTAGCTGTGGACAGTCCCATGCTGTGATCAAGCGTGTGATGTGCTGGGCCTCTTTACGATGTCGAGGTGCGCCTACCGTAAGACCTGCTATGTTGTGAGTGTCTCTGTGTTGTGGTGCACAGTGTTGCGCCTACGGAGACGGACTACGGCCACTTCAGGGAGCAGCGCCAGTGCAGCCCTTACGTGACCTCTTCGGACGGCGGACGAGCTGTCATAACCGGCAATACAAGGAACCGGCATGCAAGGAACGCTCATCGGCGTACGTGCCATACGCTGTCCGCGTTCCACAGGAACGCGGGAAATCTCTTGGCGCGCTGCGAGGAACGCGCATCGGCAGGCCTGCTGGACGCAGTCGGCGTCTAGCGCGTGCACGGACGGCTATAAAAGGAGCGTGTCGGGAGTGCGCTGGGCTCTCTCTCTGGACTTCGCTGGCCCGCTCGTCTCGAGTGCGCTCTGGGTCCTTGTGATAGAAAGGTGCGTCCGTACACTCTCGTTGCGATGTACTTCTCGTGCAAATATGTAAATTAAACGCATCTTCTACTTGTTCGTGAGACGCGTCGCAAGAGTCGTCCTTCGCCGGATCCTGGGTGGTAGCCTCAACCCCTTCCCGGGCATATCAAGGCAATGAGACGGAAAGTTCAGCCATCCGTAAGTGTAGCACACGAAAAGTGCGACAAAAACATAAGTGAGGTGCAGTTGATAGCCATAGATAAGGCTAGCACGTTTAAGGACAGCAGCAGGTTCGATGAAGAACGAAGTTTGAGTGCTGCTAAAGATGCTGCGCTGAGTATAGAGGCCGACGAAGGCCAGAGCGAGTGCGACGAGGTGCTGTGCCAGTTAACGGTTAGCGAAACAGCTAGAATAGCTGTAGACAATCTGGCACAGACCTCAACTGTGTTTGTCGCGACGGTGGATCTTGAAAATGCGGTCGAAGTAGGCAAGAACACCGGAGAAAGCTCAGAAGCAGCGAATGTAGAGAGTGACGGTAACAGTGCAGTTGGCGATAGCTCCCAGGAGTGCGAGCGAGATGGTTCAGAGGCAAACAGCTGTATTGTTGCGAAGTGTCTTGAGCTGTGCGCCAGTCTAGAGTGCGAAGGCTGGCGTCGATCGACGGGAGCGGTCGCATACCACGTCGGCTCTGTGAAATATCGCAATTATTTGCGTCACATCAAGTCGTTCTCCTGCAAGCCTTCTACCACCGTCTCCAAGAACGTCAGCCGCAACCCAAGACATCACGTCTTGTCAAGGTGGGCCGTCTTCTGACCCTTTTTTGGTCACTTGAAGCTTTCGCCAAACCACCGCGGAGTTAAGCCTAACCGCAGTAGGGGCCGCGCTGGCCCTGCCCAGGGTTTCCCCGGTAATGGCGTCTCCAAATCAAGTCACCGGCTACGATCCGGAGTCCCTACAGATAATACAGATGGATACCGCCCAAACCGAGACACCTCTACCAACCGAGGAAGAGTACCTCAAGGATATGGTCCGCGTCTGGCGCGGAAGGAAGAACGCAGCAGTGGCGTCGAGAGACGCCAGGGCTCCTGCAGCCAAACAACAAGCAGCGTCTCGCCCTCAGCAAGCACAGGGCAAGAACGCGCCGAGCGTCGCCTCGCAGCGCGCCAAGCAACTCCAGTGGCGGCCGAAGAACACGCCGCGCATCGAAGAAGACGACATCATAGTGGTGCTGAAACCGCGTGAGACGCTCGACCTCAAGGCCACGTTTGGTCCTGGACAAGCCGGCGCTGCAGTCCGCAGCATCCTCGGAGCCGACGCAAGTGTGGGACTTGCGGTGTGGCCCCTCTGGGATCAAATGTACTTGTGTGCACGCTCAAATCAGTGGACGCCGCCGAGAGACTCCTCGGGACATTAAGCTGCCAGTCGGGGGCCGCCAGCTAACATTCCGGGGACATCCCAAACTCTCCGGTGAGTTCTGTCGGGGCATCGTGCATGTCTCTCAAGACGAAACGTCCGAAACTGTGAAAAGCAAGCTCAGTGCTGAGCCAAATATAGTGTCTGTGCGCAAGCTTGGGGACACCCCGGTTGCGGTGATCACCTTCGCGGGGACCAAGGTGCCACGGACGGTGTTATACAACTGCGAGCGGCTCCCTGTTCGCTTGTATAAGAAGACAGTGCCTGCATGCCCACTTTGTGGCACAGTGGGCCATCGAGCAGATACTTGCCCGCGCCCGCAGCCCGGCCGCTGCACAAGCTGCGGCGTTCAGGTACCTGCTGCTACTCCTGACGGCCCTACGGAACACCAGTGCATTCCGAGCTGCCTCCTCTGCGGCGGTGGCCACAAGACTGGAGCTCCCGGTTGTGCTGGACGGTTCCGGCAGCCGGTCAAGTCGGGATCCCCACGCGGATCCAAGCCGAGGACAACGGGGGGGAACGGGGGGAACAAACAGGCTCCGACTCCCAAGACTGGCCCCAAGAAAGCACCAGCCGCCAAGTCGAATAAGCCAGAACTCAAGAAGACCGACACCGGGCACTCCACCAATGTAAAGCCTGGGACCCCGTCGGAGCCTCCTGCCTTGGTCAAGGACTTCCCACCCTTGACACCCGTCCAAGCACAGGTGAGCTGTTGGGGTGGGGCAGTCTCTGGACCTTCCTCTTCTCCCTCCCCTACCGAAACCGCCCTACAGCAGCAGATAGGGGAGCTCAGGCGCCAGAACCAAATTCTTGCGCGCAAAATTCAGGAATTAGAAGCGAAGCAGGTTGGGTCATCCGAGCCAGTGCAGGAAGCCGAGGCAGAGGACGGGGATGACGGCTCTTCCGTCACATCCCGCCTCACTAGCGTCTCGCGGCAGGACGCGGACACGGTAGTTGGACCAGCTTCCATTACCGGATCCATCGGTCGCATCGAGTCCCTAGAGCATAAAACCGAGCAATTAGAGGCGAGCGTGGCAGCCCTCCCCACTCAAATCATGTCGGCAGTCCGCGAGTCCTTTCAGGACATGTTCACGGCAGCCTTAACGCAAGCACTTCCCGAAATTGTGGCGCAGGTCTCTAACTCAGTCCTTAAAGCCATGCAGCCCTGGGTTATCGCCCAAATTAAAAACACCACTCAGAGCGACTCCCCGCAGGTTAAGCGCAAGCCGGCCTCCCGTCAGGCAGCAGAAGAAGGCTTTTCGGGGCCGGCTCCAGGTCCGGACCGGTCCTCTGCACCGTAAATAAATACTAAAAGATGGCTAGCCGATCTAATAAACAAGCTAAATATCTACAAAAATTTGAGATTATACAATGGAACTGCAGGGGTTTTAGAGCCTGGAAAAAACGGTCGCACCTCCAGCTCTACTTGCAGTCCCTCGGAAACATGCCCGCCTTGCTTGCTTTGCAGGAGCCCGGTTTGGACGTTAAATTCTCTGGCTATAGCACTTTCCAGGGGGGGGGGCCTCGTCATGCATCCTGGTGAACAAGGCATATACCGCGATTCAGGTCGATTTAAACTTAAGTACTGAACAAGAATACACAATGGTCAGAGTACTGCCTCTCAGACGTCGCGACCAGTCAATACACATCCTAAATATATACAGCCCCCCGCATAAGCCCCGCGTAACTTTTAGCGAAATCTTCCTCCGGGCGATCAAGTTGGCAGACAAGGACCCCTTAGTGATCGTGGGAGACTTCAATGCTCCCAGCCTTCACTGGGGCTATCACTACGAGAAGGCCAGAGGACGTAAGCTGGCGGAGCTTATCTCCACCCTTCGCCTCACGCTGCTCACGGATCCGGCGTACCCCACTCGAGTGGGGAACTCGGTAACCCGTGACACGTGTCCGGACCTCTCTCTCGTAAAAAACGCTAAGGATGCTACCTGGGAGAACTTGGGCGATTCTCTAGGCAGTGATCACTGCCTTCTCCGGGTCACACTCCTGGAAAAGTCAGCTCATAAAAAATGCGGTCAAGCCAAGTTGACCGATTGGACCCAATTTCGCAATCAGACTATCCCTCCCGTACTATTTTCTGGAGGCTATGCAGAATGGGCTCAACACGTAAACAACATTCAGAAAAGACTTACTACTACCCTCCAAACCAACGAAGAAATCCCCGCAGTTGACACTCACCTCCTACACTTGTGGGAGGCGCGCCGAAGCTTAACAAAACGTTGGAAAAAGCAGAAGACTAATCGCAAATTACGTATCCGCATAGCCCAACTCACGGAACAAGCTGCAGCGTATGCTGCCCAACTCTCAGATTCAAATTGGATAGCCCGCTGCGACGCCGCAGCTCGTCAGATGAGCTCGAAGGGGACATGGCGTCTCTTTCGCAGTCTCATAGACCCCTCTCAAACGAGAGGGGAGGCGCAGAAGCAGCTCCGGCGAGCTCTGCAAGGGTACCAAGGCACTCCGGCACAGCTTGCGGATGCTCTGTGCGATAGGTATCTCTGTCGTACGGAGGACCCGCCTGGGCCGGCGTACACGTACTCTGGTAAGCCTAACCACCAACTCGATGCCCGTTTTGAGTTGCATGACCTTAAAGCGGCTTTAGCTAAAATGCGCAGGGGTACGGCTCCGGGGCTGGACCGCATAACAGTAAAGCTGTTGGCAAACCTCCCTGACACAGCCTACCTCCATTTATTGGAATACATGAACGAGATCTGGGACGGCCG